GGGGGGGGGGGGGGGGGGGGGGGGGGGGGGGGGGGGGGGGGGGGGGGGGGGGGGGGGGGGGGGGGGGGGGGGGGGGGGGGGGGTGGGGGGAGCAAAAAGGATTCATAGAAATATCGGGCAGTGAATGGTGATGCCATTATGATGGTAGGATTGGGTTGAAACAACCCATATCTGAACACTTCTAACATACCTGTGATTGCTACCATTTGTTCGTACTGATCTCACACACTTTTCGTATTTCTTATTGCTTCAACCCGAACACAGTCCCGTCCCCCGCCCGCCGTATTTTTACTTCAAGTGATGATAGGGAATTAAGGTCAATTTAAATGACCATCGACTGTGACAACTTACAAGACTTCTGTCTGTCTAAGACAGGTCGGATGTGCTCCTTCTTTTCCCCGGCACTGTCTACAACAGCTGGGTCAGGCTGTGTCGTCTTGTCCTCTGTCGAAAATTTGTCTGTTCAGTATAATTTTTTTACAACATTCATAATTTATTACCGGTACTTATTAATTAATAAACAAACATCACTGATATCAAATTATGTAATAGTAAGACATTCATAATGTAATTATAAGGCACTCATAATGTAATTATGAGACATTCATAATGTAATAATTGTAATACACAATGTAATTGTAATACACTCATAATGTAAATTATGTAAGACATAAATAATATAATTGTAAGACACTCATAATGTAATTGTAATTCACAATGTAATTGTAAGACACTCATAATGACATTGTAAAACACTCATAATGTCCTTGTTAGATACTCATTATGTCATTGTAAGACACTTATAATGTCATTGTAATATACTCATAATGTCATTGTAAGACACTCATAATATGTAATTGTAAGCCACTCATTGTACATAAGCTACTTACTGACTGGTGCTGATGTGCTCTGTGCTAAAAGTCTGGTTGGCACCTGCCAGTTCTGAAAGGCCTAAATGTGACAGAAGATAAGACCCAAAATATTGGCTCGAAGTTATTTTAAAAAGCAGGGTGGGGTGGTAATTAAAAAGAGGTGCTCAGGGGTGGAGGGTGGGAGGGGGGTGGACAGGTTAATATCGTAACAGTGCTCTAACGCAACACATTTTAACGCTAACAAAAGTCTCACCCAGTATATCTTCACACTGAACACAAGTTTCACACTTTGTATTTTAACACGAGAGAAAGGACTCCGTGCCCCTATCCAAGCTTTTGATCGGTGGGCTGCCCTGTGGGAGAAAACACCGCCTGGTCTCGCGTCCTGTGGGTGTGTGGGGTAACGCCAGGATCGCGCGGGAGGTCGTGTGCCCGCGGATCTCTATCACTCTCCAGGGAATGTTCGCCTGCCTTCAACTTCACTAAACGCTGGTCGCTTTTTTTTTTTTTTTAATGTTTAATTCTTACAATAGGAGTTGGTTTTACAGAGAAATTTGATAGGCTCCTGGCTAAGCCCC